AGAGGCAAACATGGTTGCACATAAGTTAGCTAGCCATGCTATACGTAGTGCATTAATATGTGATAATGTAAGTGATTTCTAGAATGATGTTCAGTTGGAAGTCTTTTGAGATATATCTGTAGTAATTTGAAACTTGTCTTTGCCAATGTTAAAGTTTTTATTTATGATAGTTTGAAATTTGTTATATTATAGTAGCCCCTTCCACATACCTTCTAGCTCTCTCTTTAAATCAAACAATTGTCTTTCTCTTACTCAAATAAATTAAACACAAAATCTTAACAAAAATTATAAATTGTAGGGAATAAGAAGAAAAGGAAGAAGAGAAGGAAAATGAGAGAAAATGAAAAAGGAAGATTCATTGTGCGAGGGTTCTGGTGAGAGTTTTGGCAGTCAACCAACGAGCTCCCTTCCCCTTCCATTCTTTCAACCACAAGAGTACTCCATGGTTTTCATTTTTTCATTTGGTTGTGTATTGAAGTTTAAGTCATGTGTGTATGTGTGTGTGTGTATATATATATATATATATATATTTTTCCCGGCAAAGGCAAAACACAAAAAAAAACACACGCACACACCCCAACACAAGCAAAACAGACTAAGGAACAAAGCCAATGTCATCCACTCGAGCACCCAGCACATCCAGCCGAGCAAGATCAACAACCTGAGGTGGACAATGGTCCAACACATGATCCATCGCCACATTAGTCCGAGACAACACAGCCAGAGCGTGAGCCACCCTATTTCCTGAATGCTGAACAAAATGCAAAGACGCAACAGAGAAGGTCTTAAGCTTCATCTGGATATTAAAACAAAGGGACGCAATCTACGTGGGGCAAGCAGAAGCATCCGCCACGGCCTCAACAACAACCTTAGTATTCGATTCAAAGCTTAAGCACCGAAACCCAACGAAAGAGGCCCAAAATAAAGCATGATGACAAGCAGTCGCCTCAGCCATGAGTGCCGACGAAACAAAGAATGGCTTAAACACCATAGATTTGAGAATATTACCCTAAAAATCATGAAACACAACACCCCCACTCCCACGAAATAGCTTTTTAAAGAAACATGCATCAAAATTGCATTTAACCATCCCCCAAGTAGGCGTAAACCAATAAGCCAAAGAAGAAGATGGTCCAGCAAAATTTAACTTTTGACATTGGGACTTCGCTGCCTGAAACTCCCAAAAACAAGTAATAGCATTTTCCACCACCTTCCTCGGCCCCCACAAAACACCCTTAAACACCAAATGATTCATGGCTTTCCAAATATACCACGCATAAAAGGATATCAAGCCAAGAGCAACTGGAGGATCCGGTGCCAAACCTGCCTGATGCAGCAAAAAAGGCCAACCGTTTTCAAAAAAAGTGGAAAGAACAAGAGGAAAAATAAAAATGAAACGGAAATAGCTTCCAAACCTGCACAGAATGAGAACAAAAAAACAAAAGGTGCACAAGCGATTCCTCCTCCAACCCACAATGGGGGCATAGAGGAGAAACAACACAACCCCTTTATCAACAACGCTGGACCAGTAGGCAGAGCATTATGATAACACCGCCAAAGAAAATGCTGTACCTTAGAAAGAATAAGGCAACGCCAAACTGAATTCCAACTAAAAGGCCCCCATAAAATGGGAGATCGAAAAAGCATTCATAGACATAGCAAAAGAATAAACAGACCTAACAGAAAAAATACTTGTTCGCTCGGGCACCCAGATTTGAGAATCCGGCTTGTCCCAACGACTAATATGTAACCGCAAAAATTCCTGAACCATGGCCGGGGAAAAAAGCTGATGCAAAACACTCACATTCCATGTTTGGGACTGCGGATGAATCAAGTCTGCCACATATCGGCAAGACACCCCAAACTGCGGACGAGGAAGCTTGAAAGGAAAAGCTGGAACCTAATGATCATTCCAAATATGAATTGATTTCCCATTACCCACTAACCATTACAGGCCTGACGTAGAAGAGGTTGAGAAGACCAGCCCTAAGAGGGGTTAGAACCTAAAGGAGCATCCAAAAACGAACATGAAGGAAAATATTTAGCTTTAAGAAGATCAAAAGCCAAACCATGCTGTTAAACTTGGAAATTCCACGCATGCTTTGCCAAAAGAGCCAGATGCCTTCAGATCCCGAAAACCTAGACCACCTTGTTACTTTCTCCGACAGAGAAAGTCCTAGTGAATCCAATTAATGGAGTGAGTTTTTCGTTTATTGCACCACCAGAAAGAACGAATATATTGCATTAACTCAAGACACAATGTATGAGGGAGCTTGAAAGAAGACATAACATATATAAGCAAAGCACTCAACACCGACTTAATAAGCACCTCTTTCCCCCCAGCAGGTAATGTGCAAGCCTTCCACGAAGACAAACGTTCTTGCACTTTAGACAATAAAAACTGAAACGCATCACGCTTAGATCGACCCACGATAGTCGACACACCGAGATACTTGCTATGCAACCTTTCCATCTACAATCCCAAAAAATGAATCATAGAACGGTGCAAGGAAACGGAAGTACTCTTGGAGAAAAAAATTGATGATTTCGCAAAATTCACTTGTTGCCCATAAGCCCTCTCATAATCATCCAAAATTCTTTTCACAAAACGAACTTCAGCTTCCACAACCGTACAAAAAATAATAGAATCATCCGCAAAGAAGAGATGAGAGACTGACGGAGCTGCCCTACAAATTTTTATACCGGACAACCAAACTTGCTGAGCACTAAGAAAAGCCAAAAATAGGGCTTCCGCAATAATAATAAACATATACGGGGATAACAGGTCCCCCTGTTGTAGACCCTGAGAAGGACGTAAAAGGCCCATAGACTGCCCATTAATTTTCAAAGAGTACAAAATTGTAAAAACACAAGCCGAAATCAACTTAATCCAATGAGAATGCATCCTCAGTCGATGTAACGTTTGGAACAGAAACTGCCATTCAACCCTATCATAGGCCTTGCTTATGTCAAGCTTCAGCGCCAGAAAAGATTTCCTCCCTTTTCGCTTATTCTTAAGATAATGCAATAACTCGTGAGTAATGAGAATATTATCTGTGATATGTCTACCTGTAACAAACACACTTTGGGACTCGCCGATAAGAGATCCAATAATCCCTTGGAAACGGTTAGTCATAACCTTAACAATAATTCGATAAGAGACATTACACAAAGAGATAGGCCTATAATGGGAAACAAGCGTGGGAGCCAGTATTTTAGGAATCAACACAATATTGGTATGGTTAAGAGTTGATAATAGATTCCCGATGGCAAAAAAACTAGATATAGCACTTAAAATATCAACTTTAAGTACGTCCTAATATTTTTGGTAGAACAATGGCGTCATGCCATCAGGACCTGAGCCCTTCATTGGTGCCATAGAAAACATCGCTTGTTTCACTTCCATTTCTAAAGGGACTGCTAACAAAGTAGAATTCATTTCCGCCAAAATTCGAACCGGAACAAAGTGCAAAAATTGCTCCATATTGGTGGGATGTTGAGATTGGAACAAGTTCTGAAAATAACTCAGAAACACCTCATGAACCGCATCTTCCTCATCTACCCACCTATTCCAGTCATCAGGCTCTTCTCCTCTTAGTGGCGGCATGGAAAAATTTTGTATTCCGATCTCCAGCTTGTAACCACTGAACTTTAGATTTCTGTTTCCAAAAGAACTCCTCCTCCAGCCAGCAAGAACTTAATAATTTTGCAACCTGGACAACCTCAGAATCATGATAATCAACAACTCGATTTTTAAGTTCCCGAAATCGGCGCTCCGCACAAGCAATTTGAACACAGGAATGAAAAATATTAACTTTAGCCCAATGTATAAGATCAGCTTTACATTGTTGCAATTTTTGAGCCCACCTAAATTGAGCAGAGCCAGAAAATGGAGTAGACCAAGTAGTGTCTATGATATGAGCACAGTCATCATGCAATGTCCAACGGGCATCAAAATGGAATTGACGTTTTCGCAGCTGAAACACAGGTTGAAGTTCCAAAAGTAAGGCAGCATGATCAGAGCCTAACACTGTGAGGTGAGATAATTTATCTTTAGGGAAAACCAAAAGCTAGTCCTTCGTCGCCACCGCCGTATCAAGCCGCTCTTGAATATTAGCCTGGCTATCCCGTTGATTAAACCAAGTAAAAGGAAAACCCACAAAACCAAGGTCCACTAAAGCACAACGATCTAGTAGTGAGCAGAACGATTTAAGTTGCCATCCCTGTTTAATCTTGCCACAAGAATTTTAGAAGTATAGAGAATGTCATTAAAATTCCCAATTAGCACCTAACTCCCAGGTCATGACTTAGCCCGGTGCTCTAAATATTGCCATACCGATCCACAGTACTCGCATAAATAAGAGACAAAACCCAAGGAGCCTTATTAGGTGGAGAAATTAATAACAGCAGTAGTAAAGAACCTCGTTTGTTCCAAAACACGTAATGGAACATGATCTTTCCACCAAAGAACCAAACCCCCAGCAAAATCATTAGGTTCCACAACACATCCATTAGAAAAAACCCAACAAATTTTGCATAGAAACAATACGTCTTTGACTATCTTTGTTTCAATAAGACCAATAGTATCAGGAGAAAACTTATCTTGCTAACGGTGAAGTTGTTGAACCGTTGAGAAAGAACCTAATCCTTGACAATTCCATACCAAAATTTGTGGATATCTAGTTGAGTGAGAAAGTGGAGCTACAGCCCGAAGCGTATCCAACTGTACCGGAGGCCGTTCAACAGCGGACAAAGAAGGCAAAGACCGTGAAGAAGGATGGCACTGGTTAGAAGAAGAAGGAACCTGCTTTGATGGACGAAGCCCCAAAGCCTCGAACCGATGTAATGGAGTATGCCTCACAGAACGGATAGGCACCTGAAAACCCAAACATAAATCCTTGTTACCCTGTGGGCTGGACGGCCAGCTTCCTTGGGCTGAAATATGAGGGCCCATAGCCTCCACAATGGACTTAAAGATCAAACCTGGGCATGCAAAAGAAACACGGCCCCGCCCACCAAAAGAAGCAGCGTATCACAAACGCCTCACCTTGGGATTGGTGCTACATACAAGACCGCAAAAGAAACGTCGCCCGCCGGAAAAAGCAGCGAGCCACCGCTCAATCCACACCCCAGATCAGCAGAAACAGATGAAACCAGCCCAACAACCAGTAGAACAAAAGCTACTTGGGATCGGCCCTCCAAAGAACAGGAAAACAGAAAACTCCCAACCCAAGGGAAAAACGGACAGAAACCCAAACTCGCCACACGAAAGAAACCCGAAACAACACATAACAAAATCATCCCCAAACCCAAGGGTTTAGACCGAATACGGGCAAGTCAAATTGCCCGTGTATGACACGTGATTTTGGTCCAGTACAAAACCATCCCTAAAACTGGCGGGAATATCATTCTCGTGGCAGTCTCTTTCCCTCTCTCTTCCTCAACCTCACTGATCTCTCTTACTCCTCAAAAATCTGCCATGAACAACGGCAACAGCAGGAAGCGTCCACCACCACCATCTGCGCAGCACCACCACCAACAACAAAAGCAACATGCGGCCATGGAAGAAGAAGAAATGGACGAGGACGTCTTCCTCGACCAAACCCTCCTCTACGAGGAAGAGTCCCTCGTCCTCCGCGAACTCGAAGACCGACAAGCCCTTGCTTCTCGTCTCTCCAAATGGAGACGCCCCTCTCTCTCTCAATCCTATCAATCTCAGTCCCAGAGCATCAGTAAGCACTTGAATTGAATACATATGCATTCATTCCTAGGGTTTTGAAGTTGATTTTTATTTTATATTTTTAATCTTTTATTTTTGGTTTTTAGTGTTTCAACAACTGGAGATTGATTACGTGATCGGTGAAAGTCATAAAGGTTTGATGCCTAATTCGTCTGGACCAGCCGCTATTATTAGAATCTTTGGGGTCACCAGGGAAGGTTCTCTCTCTGTCCACACACACACACACACACACACACACAAACATACATATTGCTTTATTCTCTATGAATTTGTGTTGGAAATTTTTATTTTTTTATTTTTGTTTTTTGCCCAGATAAGATATTATTGGAATAGCTCAATTTACATCTGAATTTCAGGTGGCCCCAAAATTTTAAACTATCATTCTTTTGCCAATCCTTCATTCATTTCACAATGGATATACTTTGCTGCTTCTTGTGAATTTTCAGTTTTCAGTGAATCTAAACATCGGTCTTGTCAGGGCATGATATCTGAATCTTGATCCAGTTTAATTAACATGAACAGTTGCTGAATGTTAATACTTTATTCCATAGTTATTAAATTTATAAGCATAGATTTATAGGTAGTATAACTTGTCAAAAAAAAAAAAAAAAAAATTGTTTTATAGGTAGTATTTATCCACCAAGGATATTAATGTTTCCTTAACAATTTTCTCTCTGATTTATTTATTTATCTTGCACTATTTGTATGTAAAAGAAGGAAAAAAAAGGACACATCAACAAAAAGGACGAAAAGGGTTGCATACATAAATATTGTAATTCACCTTGGACTACTAGATTTGATGTTAGTCCAAAAGTGTTGCTTCTTTTTCGACAACTAGAAATATGACTTTCAGCTGGTATGCCAATTGCACGCTAAACTTACTCCATGGTAAAAAAGAAAAGAGGTCAACTATTAAATGTCATAAAATTTCTAAAATTCGTTGAAATATCATCAGATTTTTCAACACAAAACAAGTGTTGTTTATGCTCTGTCACTCTTGCCAACGCTGTATGAAAAAGAAAAATTATCAAAACTCTTGAGAATTTTGAGGTTTGCCATATACAAGGTTGAAAGCAGTCACATCACATTTATATTCTGTAATACCATGGTGCTTTTATAACTTAAGTCAACATCTCATGCAAGTCTAAGGAAGGTTATATTTTGTATTGGTAGGACATAGTGTTTGTTGTCACGTTCATGGATTTGAACCATATTTCTACATCAGCTGTCCTCCGGGAATGGGCCCTGACGAAATATCCCGTTTCCATCAAATTCTTGAGGTACTTTATATGTCACTTGAATAATATATGGTTCTATGTACTTTTGTTTTTGTTATTTTGTGGACATATATTTTCTTAAATGTATTTTTGAGTGTGTTTATATGTGTGCATTATTGAATGCTTTCAAAAAAGTAGTTGTCTCAGCTCACATGTTGCAGTTGATGGTCACATCAGGGGAGGATGAGGGAGGTGAATAGAAACAGTAACGTTCCCAAACTTGTTCGCCGTATAGAAATGGTGCAGAAAAGAAGCATTATGTATTATCAGCAGCAGAGTTCTCAGCCTTTTCTTAAAATTGTCGTGGCATTGCCAACAATGGTTACGAGCTGCCGTGGTAAAAATTTGGATTTGTTATGCCCTCTAAAATTTATTTTTAGTTAATTGCATCTACTTTGTAGCAGCTGGTGAGAGTTTCCATCAATTGAACTCAAAAGAATCATCCTCTTTTCTTGTTATTTAATGGTATGCAGTTGTGCATACAGTGTATGGATTTTTCAATACATAAGACATCTGTTGTTGACTTGTTGCCTCATTCTCTCCCTTGTCATGCTTTTCTATGGCCTGTAATGTCAAATGTTGCTTCTTACAGGCCAGTAGGGAGACGGATCTGCTTGCATAGATGACCATTCCTTTATATAAAAGGGATTTATGGTTCATAGCCCTGAATCTAATTTACTTTTTGCTACATTCACTCTTCGTACATGAGATAATAGGATGAACGTATATACAAGAATGAGTGGATCCTGCTAAAGTCATAGTGCAAATTGGCAAACCCTTTTTGATATCATGAAGTCTAATTGCATTCATAGTTTGTTTATTACTTGTTTCTTTCCATTATTTTTATTCAAAATTTGGCAGGCATACTTGATAGGGGCATACAAATTGATGGCATTGGTACAAGGAACTTTATGACGTATGAGAGTAATGTTCTTTTTGCTCTTCGATTCATGATTGACTGCAACATTGTTGGTGGCAATTGGATTGAAGTCCCTGCTGGAAAATATAAGAAGACAGCAAAAAATCTATCATATTGCCAATTGGAATTTGATTGCCTGTATCCTTATTAATTGGGGCACATTACATCTTCGATAAGGATGGCATCTGCTATGTCCTATTGTCATTGAGTCTTTCCCTACTGTGATAAATTATTTCCTTAGCAGTTGTTCTTAGCTATTCGGAATTGATCAGCCATGTCCCAGAAGGAGAATTTTCGAAAATGGCTCCATTTCGCATTTTGAGTTTCGACATTGAGTGTGCGGGCCGTAAAGGTCTTTTTCCCGAGCCTACCCATGATCCTGTTATCCAGGTTCAATTTTTTACTCCTCCGTCATTGATCTAATTTATTCATAACAATTCCACTTTTAAACTAGTGATCATGCTTTTCAGTTGCTGACATAAAATTTCTTACTGCATTCTAGGTGGCCAATCTAGTTACCTTGCAAGGAGAGAACCAACCATTTGTTCGCAATGTCATGACTCTGAAGTCATGCTCACCAATAGTTGGTGTTGATGTGATGTCATTTGACTCAGAACGAGAGGTCTTGCTAGCTTGGAGGGTAATGGTTTTACATTTGGAATAATTCTATCACTCTTCAAAATAATGTTCCTGTACCACAGGCAAGCATAGCAACTAAAACATTTAGCATGTGTATAGGTAGAATTCTTTGGGAACTCATTTATAGGAAATAACATATTTGGAAAAAATGTTCTTTTGTTGTCAGAGATAGATTTACTTGTTGAATTCTCTCTCTCCATTTTTTTTTTCCCTTTCAAGTGGTGGATTAACAAGACATCATCAATTGATGCTGAAGGACAGGATGGGAGGAGATGTAACAGCATAGAAATAAACTTAACTCTATTATTTTTCTCTTCTTGTTTGTGGGACATTTCACTTGCAAGTTATCTAAGAGTGTACATGCTGGACAGATGTTACTTTGTATTTCTTTAAGTGCTTGGAGCAGTGTAAAGTTTCATCATCCGTCCTCTGCAGTGCTTAGTTGTTGATTCCCTTGTCTTGATTGACAAGCATTTCTCAAAGAGTGCATTTTATGCTGCTTGCAATGAGGAATGATGCAGTTATAAATTATCCATTGCTTGAAGAAGTTGGATTATGTTGTTTTCGTCTTCTTTTCTTCCTGGTTTTGAATGACGCTTAATTTTGTTAATGGAACAGTACAGCATTACTTGCAAGATCTAACCCCACTCCTGTTTTAACACTTATTTAGTTTCACTTAGCAAGCTTATTTGCAGGATTTCATTCGTGAAGTGGACCCTGATATTATTATTGGATATAACATCTGCAAATTTGATTTGCCTTATCTCATTCAGGTTGGTGACTGTTCTCTTCAGTTTCTATGTGGTCCACCACTTTGAATTTTATATTTTACATTTTATATTTAAACCTCTTATCAAGACTCTGGGTTGTGCAAGAATCTGTCATGCGCAAGGTTTCTATATCGAGTTAAGCTAATTCCAGGCATTTTTTCCTTGGTGATAGAGAGCTGAGACTTTAGGAATAGCAGAATTTCCAATGCTTGGTCGTATCAGAAACAGCAGGGTTCGAGTCAAAGATACGACTTTTTCTTCAAGGTCATGTTATGATTGTTATTTGAGTTCTGATTCTATTCCAGTATTTTTTTTTTTGCTTCATTCACTAACTTTTAGTTTAATGTGATTGATTGAATTGCCTAAGAAGGATTCTAATTTCCAGTTGGATGAAAAATGAGAGAAATCCTATGTTTATAGAAAATCACTGGTCTCATCACGTATGGATTGAACTTTAATATCTGCATTCTTATACACATTTGAATAATCATTGCAAGTTTTTTTTTTTCCTTTGTTAAGCCCATAAAATTATATCTGTTGCAACTCTATATAACTGATACACATGTTGGAATGAAATTTGTTCACACGTGACGGGGCATGTTAGGGTATATAGATACTTATGCTTCATTTGCTAGGAAGGGATGGAAAAGTGGGTGAAAGGGAGAGTAGGGAAGAGAAGGTGTCCTTTCCTCTTGTTGTTTGGTTGAGTGAAAAGGAGTAGAAGGAAGTGACACCTTCCATTATTTTTACCATTATACTCCCATTATCTAAGTTTGTTCAGTCTTCTTTCAAGTTTGAAAGTGTATCGGGAAATATGTATATAAATCCCAAAATACATAATATATGTTGATGTGAAAAACACTTTTTCCCTTTTTTTGCATATATGAAACAAATAAACAAATCTTAGGTTTTACCATGCAACTTATAAAATATGATGATGTACTGTATGTATGTATGAACCTAGATGGTGATAGATGATATAAAGTCTGATTCTTACCTTTAAAATCCCTACCTTGAAAAGATGACATCTTTGACCTTTGTTGATGATGTTGGACCTTTTTGCCCTTTTAATGTAGCTTTCTTCAACAAGCATTATGTTTAGACTGAGTTTCACCTAACTAACTTTTTCTACTTCACTCACTGATGATAAAACATTAAATTACATTGAGTGAGTTTTGTCATACCAAATTTGCCAATCACATTACTAAAATCCTAAAAATCCTAACAGAGAATATAAATACTTAAGTTACATCCTCTTTAATAAGTTAAGATTTTAGAGTAGATTGTCATTAACAAGTATACTTCCACAGAATTATAAATTAAAAATTTTCTTTTTCATACTTCTGTTTTGAATTTTTATACTGATGATGCATGTTACATGCAATTTATGTTCAGAGTTCAGACATATGAATGTGATATTTTTTACTTGATGAATTTTCTCCTTGCTGTTTAGCTTGTGGAAATATTTGACTGATTGATACTTTGTATTGCAGACAGTACGGCACAAGGGAAAGTAAAGAAGTTACAGTGGAGGGAAGAGTTCAATTTGATTTGCTCCAGGTATCCTTTCATTTAGCTGTTTTCTATGGTTTCTCTGAAATTAAATTGTGAATAGTGTATTTATGAAGATTTAATTAATATGAAGTGCTTTTATACTTCATCTTTACTTATGCAGGTTATGCAAAGGGATTATAAATTAAGTTCTTATTCATTGAATTCTGTTTCAGCACACTTTCTTAATGAGCAGGTAACACTCGCTTTCCTCGATGTAATATCAAGAGTCTAGCTCAAGAGTTGTTTCTTTTTGTTAACAACCATCTACTCCAAAACTTAATCTGTTAGAGAGGGTGTAACTTAAATATTTAAATCCTTCAACATGCCCCCTCACGTGTGGCCTTCTTTTTGGTCCAACACATGTTTTTCAATTTTTAATTAGGGTGACAATGAGGCTTGAACTCGAGATTTTTGGCTCTGATACCATGTTAACAATCATCAACTCCAAAAGCTTAAGCTGTTAGAGATTGTGCAACTTTAATATTTATATCCTTCAACGCGTCCCCTCACGCGTGGCCTTCTTTTTGGTCCAACACGTGTTTTCCAATTTTAATTAGGGTGACAGTGAGGTTTGAACTTAACACCTTTGGCTCTGATACTATGTTAACTAGAGAAACTGAAGATTTAGAGTGATTGAATTAGATGTTATTTCTATGGCCAAATATATGTATAACTTTGTAATGACCCACTTCACCACATGGTATGATATTGTCCGCTTTGGGCCCGAGCCTACACGATTTTGCTCTTGGGCTTTTCCCTAAAAGGCCTCATACTAATTGGAGTGACACACTTACATATATAGCACTTCTCCTTTCCCCCCTCCTTTCCACACCCAGGCGATGTGGGATTGCGCACCTATATCTCGCCTAGTGTGGTAGCCTGCCAATGCCTCCTGCACTAGCCCACGGCACACCCACCCACAAGGTCGCAACAATCACCCCCCTTGGGGTCCAACGTCCCCGTTGGCCACACTTTCGGCTGGTGAGGTTATGATACCCTGTTAACAACCATAAAATGGTATCAGAGCCAAAGGTCTCAAGTTCAAACCTCACCAATAGGTTTTTGTTTTCTATTGGTGTGATGCCAATAGGATTTTTCTTATTTTCAATTACTTTGTCTCTTGAACCATAATCTATTTCTTTGACCCTGTTGGTGTGATGCCAAGAGGCAGCTCTTATTTTCAATTACTTTCTATTCTCCTTGATTTCCTAAATTTCTACTATCAAACCTCCAAATTTCCGCCCTAGTTGTTAGAACTTTCAGACTCTGAATTCTTCGAGTTCTTAAGTATTTAAGGCTGCTCTCTTGTCCTACATCAACCCCATACATCTGAGTGAATTAACTGAAAAGGACTGGACACACAATTATCAATTCTAGATTTGAAAGACGCATGATGATGCTTGCTAGGTTGACAAGCTCCGCACGATAGAGATGACATACAACCAAGACTTGGGACTTGACACTGCAAAATAGGAAGCAATGGGTGGCCGAGACAATAGTGCCATTGAAACGGAGATAGAGAAGAATGACAAATCGTAGGATGAGGCTCAAAATCAAAATAGTATAAGCTACCGACTTCATGCCCTGTACCAATCTTCTTGTTTGTCTTAAGATCCCAAGAAACACGATAAGTGGGATAAAACGTAACGGAACATTGTAGGTATTTAGTAAGCTTACTACTAGACATCAAGTTAAAGGGAAATTGAGGAACATGTAAAACAGATGATAAGACAAAGAAGAACCATCACAAGAACCATTACAAACCTGAAACTTTACATGATGAATCCTCACAAGAGTGACATTCTGAGATTGATCAACTGAATGGTAGTCTTCTAAAAGATGAAAGCAACCAGTCATATGGTCTGATGCTCCCAAATCAATAATCCAGGGATTATGAGTGGAAGACAATAAACATGTGGATGCAATACCTAATTTAGCATAGATAGCCTTGGAAGATGACAATGAAACCTGTTGTTGTGATAGCAACTGAGCATACTTGGCGCGTGGGATATTGATCATATTAGATTCAGTTGGTTGGGCATCTGATTTGGAATGTGAAATGTGAACATTCTTATTTGCATAACAAGACTGTTTATTATAAAGATCCCAGCAATGATTAATAGAATGATTCATCCGTCGACAATATGTACATCTCTGTGGTTCTCTACCTTGCTCGTCCTCCCCTCATCTGGGCACGAATTGGCTCGTACTTGTACACATCAGTGGCTGCCAAATTAGAATAGAATAGAAAGAAGAAATTGGTTGGAAACTAGTTCACCAAAAACTGATTGGCCAGAATTAAACTGGCCAGTAGAAACAAAATTGGCCGGAAAACAAAATTGACCGGAAACTGGTCTTGTTGGTAATTGGGATGTGGAAACTGAATAACAGAATTTGGACTGGTTGGCTGGAGAAGGAAGAAAGGAAAACCAAAGTATTTTGACCTTAAATTGACGAAATCCTACAAGTAGAAACTAGATTGTTTAAATCAGGTTAAGAGGATGATCCAAGTGGGCCAAATTGGGTCGATATAGTTGGATCAAATTGGCCCGATCCAGTCGGGTCAATCTTACTGGGAAATGATCTGGCTGGGTATTGTCTCCTCTATTCACTATTCAACAACCAACCTTATCTGCAGATGATAACCCCAGCCTAGGGTTAGCCCCAGTGAGCCCAGTTGTAGGAGAAAAACTTCCTCAATGACGGTGATAACTCACAACCAAGCGACGACTTCCACATGATTGTCGCCAACAGCAACCACCACACACCTGTTACACAGGGACGATAAACAACACCATGACGACGACGATAAACCCAAACACCATGTTGAAAGCCTCTTGCGGCGATAAATTTTTTTTGTACAATGATGATGGCAGTTGAACTCTTGCCAGCAACGACAATCAATGATGCTAACAATGACGATAATTGATATTATTGACTAGAATCTTGCTCTGATACCACGTTCAAAATGAGGTTCTGGAGCGAGAGGAAAGTTTGGTATTTTCTTATTATTTTATTTATTCTCTAACTTGTAAATATATACACCATTTGGATTATTAAGTTGAAAAGACTAACACGCCCCTAGAAGAGTACTAATTGCAATATATACATTCTAACAAGTTCTAAGCTTTGATTTGGCTCCGATACCAAGTTGAAGTTGGTGAGGTTGTGTTCTAGAGTACGAGTGAAGAAGAAGACAAGAAAGGGAAACTGTTCTAGAGTATGAGTGAAGAAGAAGAGAAGAAAGGAAAACTGTTCTTATCGTGGAGTTGAAAACCTAAATCAGATTCTACACCACTCTAAAATTAGATAGAAATAGCAAGATGACAAAAATGCCCTTTATACAATAAGGCCCAATAACCCAAACTCTGTAAGACCAATAATTTTTAAACCCAAAGCAACGCATTACTAATTCTCAAGATAAAGCTGAGATGAGATATTTTGCCCACAGCTTAAGGCAGAAGGGTAGATGTTGTATATGACCTTCATATGATTGGGAGCTTCAATAAATGGGAACCTTTAAATGAAAAGGAGCTGCATTAAAGGAGAATTGTATCAATAGCTTCCCTGGCTTAGCATTTAATAGGCTCTTCTACAATCTAAAGTCAAATGGAAGTGTAGAGAACACATAGTTGGGGAACTTACTCTCAATCAGATTTGATCAGATTAATTTTGACTGTTAGGGCTGTATGTATATTCATGGGTTTTATAGGCAGAGTTTAAGGGATCGTTTTGTTGAGTCCAATAAAATAACTGATCAAGGTTCAAGGATTAAAACTTTCTTTGTGGACTGGTTTTCTTGATGATGTGTTATAAAAGGTTTTCTTGATAATGTGTTATGAGATTGTTCCAAAAAGTTCTTGAAACTCTAATATGGCTTTGGGGTTTTCTTGTGGACTCTTAGAGGATGTATTTCTATTTGGTTAAGTACAGGTCTGCATAAGGTCTCTCTGGTTTATTCTTTGACTGCTCGGAAGTCTGAAATATAATTTTAGTTGTAGTTGGGTTATATAGAGATATCTCACTTAGAATAGTGCCTCAGCCTGGACATGAATTACAGTTGATGAATGGTTTTGTTTCTATGTCCTACACAATACCATTCCTTTCTGCATTAGTGTTACTGCCAGGTGTGTTGGCTTTACCCTTTGTTTTTGATAAGGTTTCCATCCCTAGATCTTTGCTAGATTCTTGCTGCTGGTTGGTTTGTGTGATTAATATCGTGCGGTGAATGCATGGATTACCTTTACGTGTAATAGGATTTCTAATGCATGTCTGATCCATTTTTTCTCCTTTTGTCTTCTTATGGTTGTCATTTGCTGTGTATTTTCTGTGACAAGTACTGTATCATCTGTTTCTTTCTTTCTGTTTCTTCTCTTTGACTCCATGTTTTCTTTCATGCATTGAACATTTGCTGCTTTCACTTTTCTGTGTGCAGAAAGAGGATGTCCATCATTCAATTATATCTGACCTTCAGAATGGGAACCCTGAAACGAGACGTCGGTTGGCTGTTTATTGTTTGAAGGTGCATATAAAAGCATACTTTGTGCTACTCTACCTTGCGAACATTTTTGCATTGTCTAATCCCTACTTTCTACTCATGGAATTGCAAACCTATTTGCTTTATCAGTTTCAGTAGTCAAAGGTTGTATTAGAGAAAAGTTGTGCTTGATCTGCATGGAATGTAGAGGGACATCTATGCTAATGGCCCTTTATCATGCACTTTTTTGTCTGAATTATTCTTATTTTATATACCATTTTTAACTAAATAAGGTGAATGATGCGCTTGTAATGGACCAATGTACTTTCAGATTTGATGTTTCACTAAATTATAGGCTGCCCTCTTGTCAAAAGAGTTAGTCTCAAACATCAGACTTGTAGAACATAGATCCCGTTTTGTTTTTCTCCCAAGTGTTTACAATTTTAGGTACATGAAGTTAGGCATTGTTGAGTCTCTACATGAGCTTGAATTCTCTCTCTTTATGGGCATAAGGAAGAACATTTCATAGTGTTATCAATGTTATGGGTGGAAAGAATTCCTGTCCGAAAACATAAGCTAATTTACGTACTTCATTCTTATCAAAAATCCTTTTCTAGTTGCAGTTCCAAAGTTCTCTTGATACCAAAAAACTTTAACCGCCTATAGGCTATATCAAAACGATAACGAGCTCTTGAACATGGGAACTGTTCAGTTAGAGAGAGAGAGAGAGAGAGAGAGAGGGAGATGAAACTGATTTGGGGTATTTTCACATACATGAGAGAGAGAGAGAGAGAGAGACGAAACTGATTTGGGGTATTCTCACATACATGAGAGACCTAAACAATATTGTATATATATAGTTACAAGTATTGCTTATTTATACGAAGAACCCAATTCTATGAGTAGTTACAATATTACCCAACACTTCCCCTCAAGTTGGAGCATAGCTTTCTATCATTCCCAGCTTGTTACATTATTCCTACCTATTTTATGTCCCTTTTCCGGATACCCATAATGGTGGTTCATACACTCGATCAGATTCAGCGGAATTTTTTGTGGGGAGGCATGGGAGACGAGTTCAAGTACCACTTTGTCAATTGGGAGAGAGTTTGTACCCCTATTAGGAAAGGAGGTTTGGGGATCCGAAAGCCATAGTTGTTCAATAAAGCGTTGTTGGGAAAATGGCTTTTGGAGATTTGGGAGTGAGAGGTATAATCTTTGGATGCATGTTATTGCATGCCATTATGGGGAAGAAAATGGAGGGTGGCATTATAGGGAGGTGAGATCGCCAGCGGGCATGGGTTCTTGGAAGTTTAATCGGAAAGGATGGGATGAGTTCTCCAAATGGATCCAGTTCAGAGTTCGGAGTGGAAGTCATGTTAGCTTTTGGGAGGACCATTGGTGTGGGGACTTTGCTTTGGCTCACAGGTTTCCTCGCCTTTTCTGGATTTCCGTGAATAAGCATGCTGTGGTTGCTGACCATTATCGGTTTGATAATGGGAGGGTAACTTGGGATGTGCAGTTTCGTACAGATTTCAGTGATTGGGAGCTCTTGGAGGTTACAGATTTTCTGGGTTTGATATATAGGCAGGTGGTGGAGGGCGTGGGTATGGATGAGATGTTGTGGCTGGGCACCTCGAGAGGGGTGTTTGAGGTTAGGTTGTTTTACCGAAGCCTTACTGAGTTTCCATGCCCCATCTTCCTCTGGAAAGCTTTGTGGAGAACTAAAGCCCCGTTGAAGGTGGCTTTTTTCACTTGGACTGCTGCCCTTGGAAGCATCCTCACTCTCGACGACTTCATAAGGAGACGTCAAATTGTGGTAAATTGGTGTTGCATGTGTAGTAATTCAGGAGAATATGTGAACCATCTTTTGTGGCATTGCCTTGTGGGAAGGGATGTTTGGTCTATGTATTGAAGGTCAACAGATAGTACTTGGGCATGGCATTTTAAAAGTATACTTGTACTGCCGAACTGGTTCTTCGAGCTTTTAGATACTGTTTTTTTCTCAAGAACCTTTCCATGGTGGAATAGCTAAAAGTCATAAAAAGGCCATTACCGAGTGTTGGTCTTGCCTATGTGGGGTGCGGGATGGGAAGACAGGAAACAAACCTAATCTGAAATTTACTCGGTCAATTTTTTCTTCTATATGCTACAGAAGACACTAATTTTCATGATAAATGAGGAGAAGCCTCTTTGTCATAAAAATCTCTCTTTACTTCTGACATGTGATATGCAAATTCTGGCATGACTTAATTGCATAGACATACATTCTTTATTCTAGGAATGGAGAAGCTTCTTGGGTTGAGAATATCAATTTCATGCCACTTACCGAACTAAACATAGAAATTTGACTTGCAGGATGCTTATCTCCCACAGCGGCTTTTGGATAAGTTAATGTTCATTTACAATTATGTGGAGATGGCTCGTGTGACAGGTGTCCCTATCTCATTTCTTCTTTCCAGGGGGCAGAGCATTAAGGTTACTTTAATGAGTTTCTCAAGTTTTGAGTTGTTGGCAGTGATGAAAATGATTAGATGTATTGAAAAGTTGAATTTCAACCATTTTCTTCAGGTGCTTTCTCAACTTCTTCGGAAGGCGAAACAAAAAAATCTTGTTATTCCAAATGTCAAACATGCAGGTTCTGAACAAGGAACATATGAAGGTGCAACTGTAAGTTTGTCATTTACTCCTTGGTAAATATAAAGATTCTATTGCATATATTTTGGATAGATAGTCTCTTATCTAGATATACATGATGAGATATAAAAGGTAGGGCGAAACAACTTGAATGATTGCATTGTCCTGTTGGATCCACTTTTAAATCTATGAACCTCTAATTTGTGTAGTCCAATGATATTCCTTAGTTTCAGACCATGGATTTGGCCATATTCTTTTTTCCAATATTTTTTTATTGAAACATTTAAATGAGTGCTCGCTACTTGCAGTTTGAAATCAGCTAGGGTTTGAAGGAGACTTTAGCACTAGAGAACTAATTCTCTCACATGTGATGTAGCCCTTTGGGCTCAAGCCTAATTTCTCTTCCTAGGTTCGGACCCCTATTTTGGGGTATTCCGTTAGCATCTAAAATGTTGCTAAGGGTTTCTCGGAGCTATTTGTGACTTGTTTGGGCTGCCGGTGTGTTTAGCAGGATTGTTCTTCGCCTTTGCCGTGTCTCCGGCAGTTTTTATTGATGTGTTTGGGCTGCAGGTGTGTTCGGTAGCATTATTTTTCGCCTTTGCCGTGTCTCCGGTTGTTTTTATTGACTTGTTTGGGATGCCGGTGTGTTCAGTACCATTGTTCTTCGCTTTTGCCGTGTCTCCGATAGTTTTTGTTGACTTGTTTGGGCTGCCGGTGTGTTGGTAGCATTGTTCTTTGCCTTCTCTCTTCATCATTCGCACTTGCTACTACTCATCATCTCAATGGCAAGTTGGACATTCATGCTCCAACTTGAGGGGGAGTATTGAAGATTTTATGGAGGAATTAGTGGAGGAAAATCCTCAACTAATTGATGTGGTTTTCTATTATTAAAGATTTATTGTTACTAGAGGAATCAGTGGAGAAAAATCCTCATTGTTTCCTATTTTCCATCTCTTCCCATTCTCATCATTTCTTCTCCTATGTAGATGAGCCTCCACCATTGTATTGTGTATGAGTTGAGAGAGTATTGTTATAAAAGTGATGTAGCCCATTGGGTTCTTTGTGACGTGGATATAGGCCCTAGTGGTTGAACCACGTAATATATGCGTGTTTTACTCGTTTAATCTCTCTCTTCACTTTTTTTGTTTCATTTTTTACAACATAAATGAACAGTGTCTGTGTAGTGACAATAGTGAAAATATTTTTGGGCTACAGTGCCGAAAGCATAGGAACCACCTTTTTTATGTTTCCTCTTTTCTTCACAAAAATGGAAAACGTTTTCTATTATAGAAAAACAAAAACATATTATTAAACATGAATTTTTTTTTTTTTTTTTTTTTTTTTTTTTTTTTTTAGCCTTTTTAGGGGTTGGCAAAATGTTTTCTGTTAGTGAGTGCAGCCTAACAAACACGCACAGGTATTTGTGTGTGCACACTCATTCCAGCACTCTATCCTAATTTTGCTTTCCCATGCCTGTGCAATTTGGGATAAGCCCTATTTGTGGATATAGTAGCACTCCTGTATGGCATAATCACCATGGACGTTCTCTCGCATTACTCCTAGTAATATTGAGTGTTCTCTTATCAGTACTGTTGCGACAGTAACCACGATCAAGAATCATGATAGAAAAACTAACACGCCACAAATAAAGAACACAACAGATTTATGTTGTTCAGCGTAAACCTACATCCTAGGTGAAGATCCGGTGAATGTTTCACTATGCAAAAATCAGGAGATCGCACGTTTTAGTCTCCAAACCCTAGCTCTCTCTCTCTCTCTATCTTTTTTTTTCCTGTGGTTTTCATTGTTCTCTCATAACACACCCCAATCTAGAACCAGGTCCATGACCTACCAGAGAAAAATATGGATAAAAATAAAAATCGGGTCAAAACCCTACCCGTGTAGAAACAAAATTCAGGCCACAATTGCACAGTAACTGTGTCTTGGAGTACTTTTTTTTTTGGTGAGTAAAATTGTGTCTTGCAGTACTTTAACTAAAAAAAAACTGTGTCTTGCAATATTGAGTGTTCTCTTATCAATAACTGTGTCCGTTATGTGCTTTGACAACTTCTACTTTACACAATGCAGGTCACTCTCAAATGAAATGTTATGTAGACTACTACTTTAATCGTGTTTTTACATGTGTAGCAATTTTAATTATCTTCAATTAAATATGGCTCAGTTACCTTTTCTTTTACTTTTTTAATTTTTTTAATTATGCTTTGACTTCCTATTTTTTTATACAACACAGGTTTTGGAGGCCAGGGCAGGATTCTATGAGAAGCCAATTGCAACATTGGATTTTGCATCTCTATATCCATCAATCATGATGGCATATAACTTATGCTACTGTACTCTGGTGAAATGTTTTTCTGTTACTTCTTTTGTATTTTATGTGACTGACAGTAAAAACTCTCCCTCACCCTCTCTCTCTCCTGGTTGCATTTAAAAGTCTGACAAGCAACCCTCACCTATGTCATCGCCAGCCATTGACGATGTAAACGCTGACACCATAACAATGAATGCTGTTGGTGAAGAATCAGTAAAGATCTCTCTCATAATCATCCCAGGTTTCCAGCTAAAGGGGGTGGAATCCACTACACATTGCTGGAAGCTTGACACTGAACTCCAGCTATTATTGCCGTTAAATACTTTTCTGTCTCTTCCACACTGACAACCCCAACTGATACACAAACAATCGTGTACACACACATGCGCAAGCGCGCACGCACAGAGAGAGAGAGAGAGAGAGAGAGTCTCCTGCAGCATCTGCAATTAATGAGTAGAAGATATGAGGGAATAATGGCCCTTTTGTTTTTTTGATTTTTATTGACAAGAAACTCACGCACCCATTTGCCCCTAAGGGGACTTGAACCCTCCCCATCCACTTTGGGAGGTAGAGGAGTTATTACCACTAGGCTACATTGCCCTTGGTAAAGGATAACGGTCCTTCATTGTTACTGAACAGTCCCATTGAGCATGGGTAATTTTGTCGCTCTAATGTAATGGATATTATCACATAGAATTTGTTTGTTTGTTTATCTCTCTCTCTCTCTCTCTCTCTCTCTCTCTCTCTCTCTCTCTTCTCCTTGAGAAACTTATAGGGTTTGATGCTAATTTTTATTGATTTATATGAAGGTAACGCCAGAAGATGTTCGCAAACTTAACCTTCCACCAGAATGTGTTAACAAAACTCCATCTGGCGAAACATTTGTCAAGTCAAATTTACAAAAGGCTAGATCTTGTTATTGCTGTTATTTCATATGGTGTTTGTTTTATAAACATGAGAAGACGTAATCGATAAGAATGTATTATTTTACTTTCAGGGAATACTTCCAGAAATTCTTGAAGAGCTGTTAGCTGCTCGTAGAAAAGCTAAAGCAGATCTGAAGGTGTCCTTTTTTTTAGTTCTGTTTTCATGCTTTGTTATTTGTTGACTCGAGCAGAATCATTCCTCTCGGTGTCAGACCCATAATCAATTTCTTTTGTTTTTAGGAAGCAAAGGATCCTCTCGTGAAGGCCGTGTTAGATGGGCGTCAGCTGGCTTTAAAGGTAGAGCATGTCTCTCTTAATTTATCATCTTCTTCTGTAGGAGACTGCTTTGAGTTCTTTTTACTTTTAAAGATTGTGTTTTTTTCTTCTTCTTTTTCCTTTTTTTCCCCTGAATTTCTTTTTCCTTTTCTTTCTTTTTCTTTTTAATGTGTGTGTGTGTGTGTTTTTTTTTTTTTTCACTTGAGTTCTTTATCATGTTATCCATTGGTTTGTGTATGTTGGCTTTTCAGATTAGTGCGAATTCTGTATATGGGTTTACGGGAGCTACTGTTGGGCAATTACCCTGTCTGGAGATATCTTCAAGTGTCACAAGCTATGGTAATATATCTATCTTACTTATTAGTATTCCTTCTCATTAGTATGAAACTTTTCTTTCTATGGGGTAAACAATTAGGAAATACTTCTTTCTGGCTTCTAATTGATCTTATGAGCAACCCTCTTTTTAAAGGTCGTCAGATGATCGAACACACAAAAAAACTTGTGGAAGAGAAATTTCTGATGCTTGGGGGCTATGAACACAATGCTGAGGTACATCATCTGAATTTTTTTCATGTGGTGGGGCATATAATATGTTAGACAAGGCAAGTGTTATTAGTGATTTCCATCACCCTAGTTATTTGTGTTCTAGGAATTATGAGTTGAAAAACTCTCGAACTACTTAAGTTAGCCACTCAAAAACTTCTTATTTCTTGCCGCGGTAATATACGAAGTGCAAAGCTAATCAGTTGAAACATAAGAGCATTTGAATTTTGAGGCAACAAATAAGTACTCGATCAAATGTCTAATTGTATTTTCATCTAATAATGTTTGACTTTTTTAGAAGAGGACATGCAATTGATGCATTCACACTTAAATGGGAGATACAAGTCTCTAAAACAAATCTTCCACAATTTAAAGAATAATATTGTTAAATTATTGAGACAGATTTTAGAACTACTGATTTGAAAGGATGATTTTGGAAAGATACAATTTTTGTAATTGACTTTTCAAAGTAGACATCTATTATGGGACATCTTGACGAGCAGATGGACAAATAAATTGGGACAAAGAGAATAACATTGACTAGGGAAAAACACCTTAAGAGACAATGCAGATATCATACAGGTAGTTTTTTTTTTTTTTTTGTCATGACCCAAACCATAGGCAGTGAATAAATTAAGGTTTAAACACAAACCAGCCTACTTTCTATCACCCCATTTCAACATACAACCCACAGCAGAATGTAGTCCCAGTCACCAAAATCCTTTACAACACATTGTATATCATAAAATCTGGCCTCAATTACATCAAGATCTTCGAGTCACCTATTTACAAGCATTTCACAAAATACCTAACATACAAAACAAGTTCAGTCTCTAAATAGAGCTAGTCAGCAACTCCCAAATCTCCAATTGATCTTTGGGTACCTGGATAAATGATAGGGTGAGCTAACAGCCCAGTAGGGAAAAACCATAACAGGACCTTCAAAGAGGTTTAAAGGCACATGGAAGTGAGTTTACAGAAAATATGTAATCATTTGTATTACAAAACATATATATACAAGACATGGTTGTTTCTCAGCAAAATGGAACAAGAAACTCAAGAAAGGATGAACAACATTAGGAGTATGAATTTGAGTGAAACACATGTTGCAATTAAAACAGATAATTTCATGGCCAAACCAAGGAATTCAGGAAGTAAAACCACTCCAAGCAACTCAAGGTATAGAGAACCCTACCCAAGAGTGATGCAGATACTATGAAGAAGGAATCCTACGACTTTCTCCCTTGCTCTCCCTCTTGTTTTTCTCTTTCTTTTCCTTTGGTTTGTGCTGTAACAAGAGGAAGGCAGCAACAGGTGTAACATGTGTCTCTTGGGTTGTGATATAAGACCAGGTGTTAGGAAGACTCATATAGCTTTGACACATGGCTGCCACCAAGTCATATTTTGGTTTAATTGTATCCTCTCCCCTGCCAACTAAATAATCAAACAAATGCCTTCAAATAAAATCCCATAACTTCAATATATCATACTTTATACCCAATGTCACTAATGATGATAGGTGAATACTCCGAGAGAGAGAGAAGAAGAAATTCTCTTATTGCATATTTAGAAATTGTACAGAAACAATACATAAATAGGAAAATTTGGAGGCTACAGACCAGCTACTCAATTTCCTAAATTGATGGAATAAAACAAGCAACAAATAAATAGGAATTAAACTAGGAAAGTCAACACGCAGAAAGAATCAAATCAACACTAAATAGGAAAAACAATCAGCTAGAATTTACACCCTAAGATTAGGGTGCCAGCTATTCACGAATTAATCCATGTCTCCACTACGTATTGAGAAAAAAGAAAGAATTCTCAACACTCCCCCTCAAGCTGGAGCATAGATGTCGATCATGCCCAGCTTGGCTCCTAATTTTTCGAAATTCAATCTCGGTAGGCCCTTTGTCAAGATATCAGTAGTTTGGCTACTTGTAGGAACAAATGTCCTATAGATTGTTCCTTCTTCAATTTTCTCTTTGATAAAATGACGATCTACTTCCACATGCTTTGTTCGATTGTGATGAACAGGGTTATGAGCTATATTGATCGCAGCCTTATTATCACAGTACAGCTTCATAGGTAGATTTGCTTCAATTTTTAATTCTTGTAATAATAACTTTAACCACAATAATTCACAAATACCTTGAGCCATAGCTCTAAATTCAGCCTCTGCACTGCTTCTAGCAACAACTGCTTGCTTTTTACTTCGCCAAGTTACTAGGTTTCCCTAAACAAACATACAGTAACCAGTAGTGGACCTTCTATCTGTAATTGAACCTGCCCAATCAGCATCTGTGTATGCCTCAATTTTCTTCTCTTCATGTTTTCCAAAAAACAGGCCTTTACCAGGAGTTCTTTTGAGGTACTTGAGAATTCTGTACACGGCTTCTAAGTGATCCTTTCCAGGAGAATGCATGAATTGACTGACTGCACTAACTGCGAAGGTTATGTCTAGACGCGTGTGAGACAAATAGATCAGCTTTCCAACCAATCGCTGATACATGCCTTTATCCACAGGAGTTCCACCTTCTGTCAGTCCTAGCTTTTGATTAGGATCCATCGGAGTGTCAGCAGGTTTACAGTCAAGCATACCTGTCTCCTTTAGTAAATCCAGAGTGTATTTTTGCTGTGAGACTGAGATTCCTTTTCTGGTTCTTGCAACTTCCATGCCCAAAAAATATTTTAAGAAACTAAGATCTTTAATCTCGAATTCACTAGCCAGAGTCTTCTTCAATAGTTCCATTTCTTCAAGATCATTACCTGTGAGGATTATATCATCAACATAAACAATTAATATTATGACTTTCCCTTCACGGGATTGTTTATAGAATAAAGTATGATTTGCTTGAGTTTGACTGTATCCATGGCTGCGAATTGCTTTAGTGAAATTTTCAAACCAAGCACGTGGTGACTGCTTCAACCCATAAAGGGATTTCCTCAGTCTGCATACTTTCCCAGATTCGCTCCTGTTTTCAAATCCTGGTGGTCTATCCATGTATACCTCCTTGTCAAGATCTCCATTAAGAAAGGCATTCTTCACATCTAGTTGTTGTAGAGGCCAATCCAAATTTGCTGCGAAAGATAAAAGGACTCGGATGGTGTTCAGTTTTGCCACCGGTGCAAAAGTTTCCTGGTAGTCCACTCCATATGTCTGAGTAAATCCCTTTGCTACAAGTCTAGCTTTATATCTCTCAATAGAGCCATCAGATTTGTACTTCACAGTGAAGACCCATTTACATCCCACTGTTTTCTTTCCTGTAGGCAAGTTTACCAATTCCCACGTGCCATTTTTTTCAAGAGCCCTCATTTCTTCTTTAACAGCTTCTCTCCACTCTGGAATAGATAGAGCCTCCTGTATAGAATTTGGAATTTCGACACTGGAAAGATTAGTGGTAAAAGCTCTATAGGATGGTGATAATTTTTTATGCGAAACAAATCTAGAGATAGGATGAAGGGTGCATGATCGAATTCCTTTTCTAAGGGCAATTGGCAAATCTAGATCAGATTCATTATTAAGCATAGAAGTAGACTCGAAGGGGAGATTACTTGAATCAGAATTTCGAGTCACTGTCTGAGGTTCGGATTCTTGGCGATGCTGAGGTGGTGGTTGCTCTATTACTCGTTGATTGTTTCGTCGAGTGTAAACCCGTAGCTCTTCTTCATTCGGCTGCTGAAGTTCTCCCCCTATCTGAGAATTTTCACATGTTAATGGCATAGTAGGATTAGGAGGAGAAGGTGGAGGTTGATCTGGTTGAGATGGGGTTGAGTTAGGTAGAGAAATATCCCAAAACTGATCTTCCGAAATATATTGCTCCCCCTGAAGATCAGTTTTTGAAAAAAATGACTGGTTCTCAAAAAAGGTGATATCTATGGAGGTGAGAAATTTCCTTTTTTCTGGAGAATAACATCGGTACCCCTTTTGAGTAGGAGAGTATCCCACAAACACACATTTTATGGCTCCTGGATCAAGCTTGCCACGGTTATGGCTATGTATATGGACGAAAGCAGTACAACCAAACACTTTGAGAGGTAATTTGCTAATGAAACGTATATGAGGATAGGCTTCAATCAAGGAGTTGAGGGGAGTCTGATAATTTAGGCATACGGTTTATGAGATAAGAGGCAGTGAGAATTGCTTCTCCCCAAAAAGTTTTTTTCATATTTGAGGTGAACATGATAGACCGAGCCACTTTTAGGAGATGGCGGTTTTTTCTTTCAGAGAGGCCATTTTGTTGGTCGGTATCCACACATGAGCTTTGATGAATAATGCCATGTTTGTTAAGAAACTCACTGAGAACAGAGTTAAAATATTCACGACCATTATCAGTTCTTAATATTTGAATTTTTGTTTGAAACTGATTTTGGATCATGGAGTGAAATTTTTTGAAAATATGCGCAGTTTCAGATTTTTCTTTTAAGAGAAAGACCCAACAAATTCTGGTGTGATCATCAATGAAGGTTACATACCATTTTTTACCAGTAAAAGTTGTTACTTTAGAAGGCCCCCAAATATCACTATGAATGATGGAAAAAGGTTTTGATGATTTGTACGGTTGAGATGGAAAAAAAGTACGATGATGTTTAGCAAGTTGACATATTTCACATTGAAATAAGGCTGGATTTTTATTCTTGAATAATGAAGGAAATAGGTTTTTTAAATAGGAAAAACTAGGGTGGCCAAGTCTACTATGCCACAACATTATTTCTTTTTCTCCAGATAAAGAAAGAACTTCACTCTCACAGCTTGTTTTTTGAGCTTGTCCACTCACGACTATGTCCTCATTAAAGTAATAGAGCCCTTCACATTCCCTAGCACTGCCAATCGTCCTCCCCGAAGACAGTTCCTGAAATTCACACAAGGAATTAGAGAATTTAGCAATATAGTCTAGATCCTTAGTCAGTTTGCTAATAGACAAAAGATTACATGAAAGATTAGGAACATGAAGAACAGATTTGAGGGTTAGACTCTTTGAAATTGGAATTGAGACTTTTCCTGC